CTTGGCAGTGTGTTCCCATGCATGTTTCTTTTTTTTCTTTTTTTTTTTTGCATGCTTATGTGATGGAAAATAAGGGAGGTCATTCCCTCTCGTCAACTGACACTGCAAAAAGGGGGAGTGAATAAAAAAAAAAAAAAAAGCTCTTCTTTTTTGCCAAACGAATTATAGCCAATGGAAATAATTTTCTGAATGTGAATTCCCCTGTACGGAAGCTGTTCAATAGAGCATGTGCAGGTGTATTATGTAGCAATATTGCAAAAACAAAAAAAAAATATCGCCTCTCCATGTTATGACCAGTTTGCCTAAGCGCGACAGGTGTGGTGGGTATATATATTTGCACCATCTCAAAAAAAAAAAATTGTCAACTATTCAGGGAAAATTGAGCGAAACGATAAAAGCGACGAGAAATGGCAGAGCGACGACACGACGTTTAACTGACCCTCCGGTTGACATAACCATGACGCCGCATCTGCTAATAAACACCCCCGCTGCCACACCAACCACACAATGATGCACTGTTTGAAGAGGGCAGTTGTGGAGTGCCCCCGGAGACCCACCGCCTTTCCCATCCATTCGAGAAGCCTTTTCTTAAGTCAAGGCTTGCTCGCCCCAAAGGTCAAGCCAGGGAAAAAGGGACAAGATAAAAAAGATAGTCGGGCTGCAGAGACCACGGACAGTAAAGAGGAACAGAAGGCACACATCTTTAACATTTACAATACAGTCGAGAAGGACCATGAAATTTTGCCTGACCATGCATACCCGAAATGGTTGTGGGAGTTAGAAAAACCGATGAAGAGCTATGGCGAGTTGGCCCTTATGTTCCTCTACGGAAAGGTGAAACGAGAACAGAAGAGAGAGAAAAAAAAAAAAATGATCTCAATGTGAATGAGTATACCTATGCACACTAAAGAGAATACGCTGAGGCATATTTTCCCTTGTTTCAAAATAACTACTAAATGGTTGTTTCACTGATGAGGGAACATAAAAGAACACCCACGTTTATGCGTGTGTCCATTTCCGTGACACATGGAAACACCTCAATGTAACGTCTACCTCCCAGTATATTTGCTAATGTTGTGGAATTTTTTCCATTTCCCTTTTTTTTTTTTTTTAGAATGTTGACAAGGCCACCGCAGATGATTACCATCGCTTTCGCAGGCTGCACAATAAGAATCTGATCAAACTGAACAACATGAGGTTGAAGAAGTCCAAGCGGTCGACGGTGAAGCCGGTTTTTTGGGACCTGTAGGTGTGTGCAGGCGCCGCAGAGTGGGACCCTCGTCCTAGCCAGGTGTGGGAAGTGCGGCGCGCTGACGTTTGGTGGTAATTGAGGAAGCTGTTTTTTTTTTTGCCCATTTTCTCGTTGGGGCCCCAGCCCAGTAGGATAAACCGCTCATATACACACACGTACATGTGTACGTATTTATGAATATCCATGTGTATGCCTTTTTTTTTTTTTCCTTACTGTTACCCTCATTCCAATTTGGACAACTCCAGTGTATGACTCACCAATGTGTGGGCGCAGGGAGGAAGAGGGGACTCCGCTCTGAAGAGGACCTCTTTCTCCCCCAACAGATTTTCAAACCATTGCTGTAATGTAACTGTTTCACAAAATGGAAAACTACTAAACGTTTGGGGAACGGACAATATGCCTTACATCGCGCAGGGAAAAAAAAAAAAAAAAAAAAAAAAAAAAATGAAATCCCTGACGCGAGGTGTATTTAAATTATTTACTTGGGCATACAGGAAAATGGCAATTTTTCGATTTGTGAAAATCCCCGAGGTTGATTCTTTTTCGCGTCCTCAGTTGTTCCGCAGGGGAGTGGCCAGGCGATTAAACGGGGGGGGGGAAAAAAAAAAAAATAAAATAAAAAAATGAGCAAACAAAATGACAAAACACATAGTGTCAAATGAATGAAGCCAAAAAAAATCACTGACCAAGGAATGCCAGTCGAGCAAAACGAAAATTCACATCGGGCGAATTTCCCATCGCCTGATTACACAACACAGAACGACTCATCCAGCTCGTCCTCTCGCGTTCAACCCTAGCGGAGAGGAACGATCCACTGCCTTTTTCTGTGGAGCTCATCGGTAGGCACCCGCGTGCCCAATTTGGCAACCTTCCCCCGGAACAAAAAAAAAAATTACTCTTTTTAAGGAACACGCTAGAAGAGGGTGTGTATGTGTCCACACACCTACTTTTTATATGAGAATACCCTTGAGGGCAAAATAGGACACAGTGGAGAGACGGAGGCGCAAAAACAAATGAGAGGATGAAACCCTTTTTCTCGTTTTTTTTTTTTTTTTTCCTCATGAGAGAAGTTTTGAAGAGGGATTATAATATGGATCTGTCCCCTCCTCCCTGCGTTTTGTAACGTCATACATATATTGCACCCTTAGGCGACAAGCGCGGTGCTGCTAAGGGAGAGGTGCGGAAAAAAGAGGGCAAATTTTGTACACACAATGACATTCCCTAGTAAAAGGAAATTGGTAGTAAAACCGGAAGAGACGACAGGGAAGAAGAAGAAGGCTAATAATGCGCGCGGGGGAGTGAAGAACGAGGGGCGGTCAGTGGGAGGTGCGGTGGCGAGTGCCACCCCCGTCGTGGGGTCAGAAGAGAACGAGTGTGCCATCGTCTCGTCTGTTCCGCGCGGCAGTCGGCTGAAGAAAGGAGCCATAATCGAAATCACTGTGTTTAACTGGATGGTGTTTAGTGGGCCGGTGACGCTGAAGGCAGAAGAAGGAATCAACCTGATCGCAGCCGCAAACGCAAGCGGAAAGTCCTCCCTGGTGTGCGCCTTGGTCTTTGGCCTAGGGTACAACTCGAGCATCCTGTCCAGGAACAAGGACCTAATCAATTATATAAAAAAAGGAGAAAAAAAAAGTTTCATTGAAATAAAGTTAAAAAAAGACGAAAGGACAAACACAACTGTTAAGAGAATTATGCACATAACTCAGAATAAGGTAGAGTCATTTTGGTTTGTGAATAACAAAAAGGTTACTCAAACAGATATACAAGAATTACAAAAGGAGTTTCACCTGAACTTGGGGAATTTAATAACCTTCATGCCACAAGAAAATGTAAGTCGCTTTTCTAGACTAAGTCCAGAAGAATTATTTGAATGTACTCTCATGGCGGTTGATAAAAATTTACTCGAGAAATATCATCACTTAAAGAAACTGATAAAGGAAAAAAAGGAAGGAGAGCATAACATGCAATTGTTAACACATCAAGTGAAGGAAGAGGAAAAACTTATAAATGACTTGGAAGGAAAAAAAGGAAAATTTGAAAATTTGAAAAAATTACTAGCCAAAGTTAGAATATACCGAGTGAAGAAATCCCTTATGGTTATGCAGGCCAAAAAAAAACAGTTGACAGAAGTGAGAGAAAAAATGGATTCTCTCGTGAAGGAAAAAAATACACATTTCGAAACGCTGAAACAATATTTATCTGAAGTGGAGAAATGTCACAAGGTGATTAACCACCTGTCTGAAAAGCTGTCCCATGAGAAGACAAAAATAAAAGAGGCCACAAGTAGGTACATCAAAATAAATATTCAGTTAGATGAAATCGAAGCAGAAATAGTACGTGAGGAAAAGGTCATGGAAGACGCAGTACAACATATGCACGAAAATGAAGAATATATAAAAAATTTGGACAAAAAAAAAAAAAAAATTGAAGAGGAATTGGAACAAATAGAAAAATTCTTTCATGAAAGGGTTACTCAAATGGGGATCAAAAAGGGACAAGAGGATCCAGAGGCGTTAGAAAAAGTACTTCAAGAGGAATTAAAAAATTTGACAAACACAAATAAACAATTTTTAATGAAAAAATATGCGCTGCAGACAGAGCATGCTTCCCTCATGGAAAAGCTACAAAAAAGGCAGAATTATCAGAACATACAAGAAGAGAAATTTTTAAACAGTATAGAATTTACTTTACGTGAAAGAATTTTGAATTATAAAAGGAACATAAAAAATATTGTACGGACACACCACTTGTTAAGTGAATCTTTGTTGGAAGACATACGAAAGAAGTATGACTTAACCAAAATCACAAGCCAGAACGAAATGAATGGAGCCATTATTGATGCGTTGTCACAAAGAAATATCATTTATGGTCCTCTCTGCAAATATATAAAATGCATAAATCCACAGTTCGATTACGTGTTAGAATTTTCCTTAAAAAAATACTTCAATAGCTTTTTGCTTATTGAGAAGGAAAATACATCACTGCTGGAGTCGCTCTACAAGACTTATAAACTTTCCGTTATTACCATGTCAAGGGAGAATCACAAATTGTGTCACGTGACGAGTGAAATGAGAGAACGTGGAGTCGAATGTTTTATTTATGAATTATTTGAAAGTCCTGAGATTGTAAAAAATGGACTCATGAATTTTATCCCCATCAATATTGCTTTTGTAGTTCGAGAGGGAACTTTTAAAAACAAAACCACCAAAGATATCACAAATTTTAATACCTTTATGTTAGAAGAAATTTCTAAACAGATAAATGAACAGGTCAGTAGTCTCCTTTACTTCTGCGAACAGAGTGTACACCGATACAGGATAAGTAGTTACAATCAAAATGTATATATTGACAATTTTTCCTTCATAGATGGGAGGTGCAAAATATTGTATTACATGAGTTCCGAGGTGAAAAAAGACATTCATGTGTTGGAGAAAAGGAGAAAAGAATGTGAATCTGAAATGCAAACTTTGAAGGAAAAAATGGACCAATTAGATGTCCTGAAAAAGAAAAAAAATGATCAACACAATAATCTCATTCTACAAAAAAGTGAAATAAATATTAGAAAAAAAAAAAAATTACTTCTAGTTAAGGAACTTCAAACGGTCGAACAAAATCTTAACCTTTATTTGAAAGGAGAACAACTCATTGATGAAAAAAAAAACAAAATAAGCAAACGGATTAACCATTTGAATGAGAGGAAGATAAAACTTTGTAGCGATTATTTCGATACTCTAAAAGGGCACAAAGGAAATGACATGGAAGCATTTTTTATCTCACGGAAATTAGCTCAATGGAAAAGATACCTCTCTCTGGTGAAGAACCAAAATGCAGAAAGTGAAAAAAAACACGAAACGTTAAAAGCACAAATACATTTAGAGAATACGAAACATGCTGCCCTTACACACGATATTGAGGAGTTGGAAAATCTGGTCAAAGTACAAAAGGGTGAATTGTGTAAAGAAGAATTGAAGTCGCTCAACGAGATTAAAGTTTCCCTCGACGAGATTGATAATATTTTACAAGAGTGTTCCATTCAGCAAAGGATTTATAACAACCTAGAAAAAAATGAAGAGAAATATAATATGCTTGTTTTGTCCATACAAAGACATAATGAAAATTTGAAACAAAAAAAGGAACAACTGGTCAAGATAGAGAAGGAACTTGAAATGCACACCAACCAAATTCAGTTCGTTCTCTCCAATTGGGTAAATCAAGTGGAAGAATGCATCCTCTTCCTCAATCACAACTTAGGAAAATTTATATCCTTTATAAACCCAGCCTATGGTGCAAAAATTGAACTTGTTAAAAAAAACGAACTTTTCGAACAATGCGAATTGTTTATTAAAGTCAAATTTAAAAAGACTGCCCCCTTTCTCTTACTCTCCGTTTCTCATCAATCGGGGGGAGAGCGCTCCCTCACCACCATGCTATACATTTTATCAATTCAAAAATTAACCAAAAATGGCTTTTACGTACTGGATGAACTGAACCAGGGACTCGACCACACCAATGAAAAGAAAATTTTCGAACTGCTCTCTTGCCTCTCTAACCCCACCATGTACAAGCAGCACTTCATGCACCACTACGATTATAAACATATAGAAATTGATTATCAGTCCAAACCACAGTACTTCATCTTGACGCCCCAAATAATTCGTGACATTTTCTTCAAGGACATCACGGTGCACTACCTGTTCAACGGCTTCGGCGTCCTCTCTGGGCAATTCGACGAGGTCGAGGTGGACAATATGTAAAAGACCGCATGCCCAGCCCATACCAACTGATACCGTTGGCCGCCTTGCTTTTTTTGTTGCTTCACTTTTTTTATCGTTATATGAGTCTACCATCATGCCCCGTACTCACCGCGTGGTGTCACTCTGTTGTGCGAAGCGGCATCATAGGTATTTCCCCCTAGCGCGATTTTGTCCCATTCGTATCTTCACCCGTTGCTAGGCGACACCAACAGGGGGGAAAGAGCCCCTCCTTCCTCACATCTCATGTTGGCACCTCGAAATGAAAAGTATAGTAACATAAATAAAAAGGGGGGGTTCAGCACAATGCAGGAAAAAAAAAAATTGCGCAATTTGAATATGGCGGGTGAAAAGAACAAATGCGTGAAAATTAAGCCAGTTGCAAATGTTGCCTTTTTTTTTTTTTTTTTTTTTTTCCCCGAATACGACGTCTCATCTGCCATTCGGGGCGAAGACGTTATATATATAAAATTGGTCTGCGGGGGTTACCCAATTTGCGGCGGCGCCGCGCCAATGTATAAATGTATTCCCTTTCCCGGCCGCCCCACTTTCCTTTTTTCCTGTTTCTCGCAGCGCCACGAGTTGGCGCAAAAAAAAAAAAAAAAAAACGAAAAAAAAAGGTTACAAATTGTATTTGTTTTTTTTTCCGTGTCGCATTTTGGGTTACGTACTGCTTGTCGTTGTTTGTGCGACGATTTAAAAAAAATAAAATAAAAATAAAAATAAACCAAGCCAAACGAGTGACAGAACGAGCAAAAAAGCCAATAAATACGCGTAGGCAAAAAATAACAGCATCGAAAGAGCAATTTTGCAGCCGCCCCCCCCCACCGGCCAAAAGCGGATTGAACAGATTTTCCCATCTGACCAAAACAACTGTCAAGTAGGGTAAAAAACAGGACCCAACGCCAGAACGGGAAAAGATAATTAGAAGAGAGCGTGTATATAATACCAGAGGACGACGTTCCTGAAGGGTCCACATCCACGCTGCATATATATATATATATATATATATATATATATATATATATATATATATATATGTATATATAAAAGCATTATCTATTTAAGCTTGTTCCACTACCTGTAAAACGAGGAAGCGGTCAAACGGGGACGCAGTCAAACAGGCCATGTTGGGAGGAACCGCGAGTTCAAAATCAGCAGGAGCCCCTTAACCATTCCTCCGAGTGTTCTATAACCCCGCATTTTAGTCAGTCGTCCATTTGTCAGCACACCTGCCTCGGAACAAGAAGCAACAACCATATATCACTATACATATATATATGTATATGTGGATACGCAGATAATACTTTTTCTGTGCACCCCCCCCCTGTGAGCGCGCTTTGGTCAACATGTCAGACGACGCGGAGTCGACAGACGGTTTAAACGCCGAGGAGGTTCAAGAGAAGGAGGAGGACGTGAATGCCAAGATTTTCCCCTTGGCTTCCCCCGAGCTGACAAATCAAATTTTGGATGTTATACAAAGGGCAACTGTGTATAGGCAGTTGAAGAGGGGAGCCAACGAAGGTAAAAAAAAAAAAACGGAAATACTTCACATACTTTTTGAATGAGTGTTTCCGTTGGGATATAATACACTGTACAACGTTACACGCATATGCCATGTTTATCACATGTACCGCTGCTCAATGCATTTGATTAACTTTTTTTTTTTTTTTTTTTTTTTTTTTTTTTTTTTTTTCCTCCACGCAGCTGTCAAAAGTCTACACAAGGGAATATCCGAGTTGGTGGTTCTCGCTGCGGATGCGAAGCCACTCGAAATTATATCACACATTCCTCTTGTTTGTGAAGATAAGGTGAGTTTCTGCTGATTTATTTTTTTTTATTTCACTTTTTTTTTTTTTGCGAGCTGCGTCATGCGAAGGGTTTGTGACTTGGCTCGGATTGGTCACATGTCCACTATAATGTATGCAACAAGCATTTTGTGTGCACACTTTTTTTTTTTTTTTTT